TTAGCTGATCTTGCTTGAGCAGCCTCATTTATAGCTTTTATTTAAAAGGATTTCATAATTGTATAACTTCCTTTTTTTTTTTTTCCTTCATTTTTTCAGTAAATTACACTCTCTCTGAGATAAGGGTTTTAGGCTTACTCGTATCAAAAGTAAGAGAGGAGTTTAGAATCGCTTTACTCCTTTCTATTCGACGGATTTACTTCGATGCAATTATGTGGAGCTAAGACCCATATATTGGTCTACCGTTCATATCGAACTTTACCTTCAATTTGAAGACAAGTAATACTAGAATCCGTATACCGAACAAAAAGATAATGCTATTGTTGAATAATAAATCAAAGATTGAGCGTCGCCTTGATTAGTGATGATCATTACTACTGGTGGATAATATTATTTAATCAAATAACGAAGAAATCAAAAAATTATTCAGATTGTTGTTTTACTTTTGAATAAATTTATCAAGGTTAGTGCTTTAACCAAACACGAAAAAGGTGAAGGACTATTATATAACGTACATTTGTGACAAAAATTAAAAAGAAGGCACGAAAGAAGAGGAAAAGAGAATGGGAATTTTGAAATTGCCCTAGTAGACAAGTAATCCACATGCATGTTTCACGTTTAAACTTGTACCTTTGTTTCCATTATAGTCCTATTTTATTTTATTCACTAAACCAATCCTCTTCAATGAGTTTTATTGTCTGAAAATGTACGACTTCCTTCTTGTTCTGCTCTCATCATATCTCCCAGTTGTCTCCTTAATTTCTCCAACTAATTTGATGGACGTCTGTCCAAAACCACAATGTAAAAATGTAAAAGTGGTAAGTGACTACTGTAATCATCCTATATATTAACAAGCTGTTACACAGGATAATTATTGCAGTCGCTCAATATGAATTGCATTACTTAATTTAAAATACAATATTAGTTATGTCTCGTCTTTATCGACATTTGAGTTTAGAAAACAAAGAAACTTAAATTTTACACCAAGTATAATGGAACACATTCATGTGCACGTTTTTTTGCGTGAAATCATCGAGTCATGCACATGACACGATTGGTAGGTTTTATAATACTTGGCCAATTCAACGATATAGCTAATTCACTAGAATAAAACTCCTCTATCAGAAAATGCTTGACGTGTTGATGAGAGATACTCACATTCGTGTAGGACCCGAGCCGACCCCACATGAATAAAAAATGCAAAAAATCGAGACCCCCATCCCTTCTTGTATCTACTTTGTCAAAAAGGGTGTAAAGTCTCTTCTATACAACCAGCACGGTTGAATTCACTATGCTCATTTTAGTGTTTAGAATAAATATTGGTTGTTGAAATCTTGAATTGGCATCAACGGAGATGGTTTCGTGTCCACCATTTTTTCCTTATAAATTTTAACAATTTCCAGGCCAAAAAAAAATTAGTGATGATTCAAAACAAGAAAGATGGTATTAACTTATTGCTTTCAAAAACGAACATTATACTGTAATCAGAACAATAATAAATCTTTAAAAAAAAAAAACAAACAAACAAACAAACAAACAGATGAACTAAGAAATTACATAGTATCGACAGCCAAGGCAGTGTTCCAAATATATAAAAACAAACAAAAAGGGCAATCAACGATGTAATCAAAGACTAATACTTCCTTGTATTCAAAGTTTCCGTTTGGGATATATTAATTAACAATATAATCACTTTGAAATTAATATTTTGTAATTAAAATTTTCAAAAAGGCATCAATCTTATCGAGTTTATTTACATTTTTATAAATAAAATCTAATATTTCAAATTATTAATAATTTAATATCTAACGAACAATCGCCATCAATGTACAAAAAATCAAGTTAATTGAAAATTTTATTACGTTTCTCTTCTCGAATTTAATTAAACGTATCAAAAACAACTTAGCAAACCCAGAATCTAACAACCTTATGTCAACTAATAATATTATTCTTAGAAAAGTAATATTTTAATTAATAGCTAAAAATTATATTAATTAATTACGCAATGCAGACTTATGGTATATAGAACATAATATAATACAAATTATATTTTTCTATTTTGAAACAAAATATTTTTCTTTGTCGGAAATACGACTTTAATGTTTGGTTCCTTCAGCCACAGTCTTTATATAACCAGTTTCTACTGTACAGTTTTTCTCATTTTTCTGAAAGAGTCAGATTTATTACAATATTGTATGAATTTAAGCAGCGTTACAATAAATCCCCGCAAAATGCGGTATACAACGTTAATTTTAGCTGGAATTTAGGATTAAGATTTTCTGTTGACCTTTCCGATGAATTAGATTTTCGATTTTTGGTTGATCCGAGGTAGAAAAAAAAAATTAAGTAAAAATGGGGCATTGTTGTAGCAAAGGCGTTACAGTGGACAACCACGACGGTGTTTTCCCCGCTGATCACCAACAACGGACGCCATCATCGGCGGTGGAGACACGGCCCACTGCAGGTAATGGCGCAGCTCGAACTCCAGCTCACTCCTTCACGGCAAGTCCTTGGCAGAGTCCGTATCCGGCTGGTGTGGAACCATCGCCGGCGAGGACGCCAGGGAAGAAATCCAAGTGGCCGTTCCCTCCGCCTTCGCCGGCGAAGCCGATTATGTCGTCATTCATGAAACGTCAAGCTGGGACGCCGCCGGCGAATCCGATACCGGAGGAAGGCGGAGAAAGCGGAGAGAGCCAGCTGGATAAAAGTTTTGGGTATCCGAAAAATTTTACTGCGAAGTATGAACTGGGGAAAGAGGTGGGGCGAGGGCATTTTGGTCATACGTGCTGGGCTAAGGGTAAAAAGGGAGAACTCAAAAATCAACAGGTGGCTGTTAAGATCATTTCCAAAGCTAAGGTGTGTGGTAGATTACAATTATTAAACATTTTTCACAATTTTATTTAGTTAATATTGTTTCAACAACGTTTGATCCTATGTAACAATGTTTTCTTATAGTTTGATTTGAAGAACTTCTCATAGATTATATTATTTAGTGTTACTATCATAAGCAACTTGATTATTTGTTTCACAAAATTAAGTTGCTTATGAAATTGAGCTTTGTTTGGCAGATGACTACTGCAATATCGATTGAAGATGTTCGGAGGGAAGTGAAAATATTGAAAGCTTTATCTGGACATACAAATCTGATCAAATTTTACGATGCATTTGAAGATGCACATAATGTTTACATAGTCATGGAGTAAGTTTTCGCATTTGACACGTTATTTGCTAGCATTTCTTTACAAAAAATTTTGCGATTCTGATGGTAAAGAAGCATATTTTATTTTGAAGTATTTAGAAAATACTATTGTTAACAGATTGTGCGAAGGTGGGGAGCTATTGGAAAGGATTTTATCGAGGTAATGTGGGACGAATATTCTTCTCTTATTAATACATTGAAGAGTTTATGGATCGATACTTTTTTGTTGCAGAGGTGGTAGGTATACAGAAGATGATGCTAAGAAAATTGTTGTGCAGATGTTAAGCATTGCTGGCTTTTGTCATCTCCAAGGTGTCGTGCACCGAGATATGAAGCCAGAGGTATTTCGAACTAGAAATTATGTATCGTGTGTATATATTTGAGTGTGTTATATATATTCATATGAATGTTCAAGTGGGCTTTATTTATTGGCAGAATTTTCTTTTCACCAAAAGAGACGAGAATGCGCCGTTGAAGGTTATAGATTTTGGTCTATCTGATTTTATTAGACCAGGTAAAGTTTCCAAATTTGTGTATTTGATCTTAACTACGTTGATCTATCGTTTTTCACTTTAATTTCCGTTCTCCATCCTTTACAATGTGGTGCGTGTACTTTTATTATATCTGCAACCAAATTCTACGGATTTACCAAAAGCAATTCAAATTGTTGTGCTTCAAGGACGTCCTTAATCTCTGGTTGATATTTCTGATGGTCGACATCTTGTATTTCACCAATCATTTACCTTGCATAGAAGGGAAGGGAGTACTTTTGAGCAGTACTGTTCATTTCTGTGTATATTGTCATTCCAGTAGTAATCCTTTTTTTGAAATTTTCATTTGAAACGTAAGAAACATTTTTGTGTTATTTGAAGTACATGGCTTAATGCAGAAGTAAGTCCATTTACTGTTGATGAATTACTTGCAAGGAGTATGCTAAGATTGGATGTAAACCAGATTGAATCCATTGAAATATCCGTTCTATTTGTGAATTTGTGCCTTTCAAGGATTGTCAATCTTCGATCAAAATACAACCGATTAGTTCTTGTAAATTTGCAGATCAGCGTCTCAATGATATTGTTGGGAGTGCATACTACGTTGCACCTGAAGTACTTCATAGATCATATAGCATTGAGGCAGATATATGGAGTATTGGCATTATAACATATATTTTACTATGTGGAAGCCGACCTTTTTGGGCACGCACCGAATCGGGAATTTTTCGATCTGTGCTAAGAGCTGATCCCAACTTTGATGACTTACCATGGCCAGTAATATCTGTTGAAGCCAAAGATTTTGTGAAAAGGCTTCTGAACAAAGACCATAGAAAAAGAATGACTGCTGCACAAGCACTGAGTATGTTGGCATAATGTTAGTGGCGGGTTAAATTCTCTATTGGTCACTAAACTTTACTGAAATTTCACGTCTATAAACTTCATTTTGAACTTAAAAAGCTTTTTTACAATTTGGTCACTTCGTTCTTATCCATTGGTTGACTAACGGAAAATATGGCATGGTACTCCAGTAATTTGCCAACTAAGCTGGCAACTAATCTGCCACCTTGACTTCTCAGCTAGTCAAACTAAACGGAGATAGGTGGGCATAACCAAATTCTGCTAACCATCTAATCTCATTGACTCGACTGTAGCAAAGTTAATGTTTACTGGCCGACTTGAAATAAAATGAAGTTTAGTGACCATTTTTAACCTGTCAATCTTGTGTTGGCTCTATGTTGGCTGATCAACATGCATCAAAATGTTATTCTCTGCAATTGATAAATGCATCTATACCTGCAGCTCACCCATGGTTGAGGGACCTAAACAGTGTCGTACCATTAGATACTATGATTTACAAATTAGTTAAATCATATATTCGAGCCACTCCATTAAAGCGTGCAGCACTGAAGGTATATAATTACTGTTAACGCAGACGAATATAGTTTGAGGTTATTTTTTAGCAGTGAAATCTATATGTTTTGTAATTTTTGCTTCACATTTTTTTCCCAATCACGCTACACAAACATAATGGTTGTCATAATCTTTAATATAATGCCACATGACAACTTATCATTGAACTGCTTAAAATACAATCAACTTTTCATCAAATCACATCATGCCAAAACACATTCTGTCGTTCTCTCCATCACACACTTTTTGGCACACGAGCATTATTATTTTTTTCCACACTATTGCAGGCTCTTTCAAAAGCTTTGACAGAGGATGAGCTCATTTACCTTAGGGCTCAGTTTAAGCTGTTGCAGCCAAAAGATGGCTGTGTCTCCCTCGATAACTTCAAAATGGTTGGTAGTACCCCTACATTTTTATTCATTTTCCTTTTTTAGTCTTTCATTGACCCCTAAAAAGTTCGAGTTTTACATAATAATTTCTTATTTGTAAACTTTGAATATAAGTTACTTATTTTAAGTGCGAGTTGAGAGTGTTTTAAGTTTACTTATTTGTAAACTTAAAAAGTATGGTGTTTGGAAACAACACTGTACTTCTAAAAGTAAATTTTATTAATCTTTAAGCTTAGCCAAACATGTTATCCTTGATTAGATTTCTCTTCGTTTCATGTACAGGCTCTCATGGAAAATGCGACTGATGCCATGAGGGAATCAAGAGTTGCTGACATTTTGATTTTGGTGAGATGACGTAATATAATAATTTTATTTCGTTCTTGCATCTGATGAATATTTGCTTGTATTAACTGTAACTTTAATAGTCTTTTTTCCTTTTTCTGTTCTCACTTCTCATCGCTATATTCAGTTCAGAATTAGCACATGTATGCATCTTATCTCTTATAACATTGCGTTTTCTGTTCATCGTGCACACATTTATGTGATGAAACTTTGCAGGAATTTAATTTGGGTGCGACTTCAAACTCTTTATTCAAGGATTGGATTAGATTATCAGATGGAAAATTGAGTTTTCTTGGATATACCAAGTTCTTGCATGGAGTAACGATTCGGTCTTCAAGTACACGGAACCGTCAATAGCACGGTTCGACTGAGTATACTACAAGTTGTCCCGGAGGGAAAAATCATAACGGGTTTTTGCTTTTCGAATTTTCTGCTTGAAAATGTTACAAAATGATTTTGGTGTTGGAATTGTGCACGTCAGTGATTTTCTTGCAACTTTACTAGCTGTATAGGGAAGCATAAACTAAAGTTTGTGAGATTTTTCTTAATTAATTTATAAATGATCAAATTTCATGCTTTGTAAAAGTTGCAAACGGATTCTTTTTACCTTTTAGTTGGTTTTAGATAGTTTTTTCGCATTAAGATGAAAGGCATTGTCCTGTGCTTTCTATTCAGTAACGAAATGTTTTGTAAGTAGAATTAGATACATGGGATGGTATTAAAAATGAATCGAGACACAAAAATCTTGTACATATCCGAATGCCAAACTTGCGCTATTGGTTTACTCGAGGAAGATGTCGGGATAGATGGAAACAAATAGAAAATAGTGGAATAATTTTTCTCCCAAAAGCAAATAAGGAAAATGTCATTTTTGACAATTGTATATGCTGAAAATATTCTAAAAACAATTAATCACACCAAACCACAAGAACTTAAGCAATTATTTACGTGAATAACTTTCCGATGTAAGGAATAAAAACCACGAGGATCCAGCCCAGTCAAAACCTCCACTATCAATCAAATAATAGATACATCAAGTCTTCTCTAGTCACAAAGATGAGCTTTCCTCCTCATAAGAGAAAATAACCCTACAAATCCCCGCCTTCCAACTATAGAGAGGAATTAGCATCCTAGCAATTGACCAATAATATTCAAGCTTTTTCTTTGGTAGTGTCTTTGTCAACGTATGGTGTGGATTTTCTCAAATTCGAATAACTTATCATTCAATACATCCATAATGCAATGGTCCAGTATATCGATATGTTTCGATCTTGCATCGAAACTGGAATTTCTAGTAAGATGAATAGCACTTTGGCTGTCACAAAATAACACACACCTACTGTTTAAAACCAAGTTCTCTCATGAATTTCTTTGCCCATAGCAACTCTTTAGTCGCCTCTATTGCTGCAATAAACTCTGCCTCTATCATAGAAAGGGCAATACATTTTTAAAGTTTCGATTGCCAAGCTACAACCTTACCTTCAAAAGTAATCAAACAGCTCCATGTAGACTTATGGGTATCCACATCTCCTGCCTTATATGCATCTATGTAGCCAAATAACAATGATTGTCCGTTTCCAAAATTAAGTCTCAAACTGGAAGTGCCTCGAAGATACCTCATCATCTACTTAACTGCATTTCAATGCTCTCTTCCTGGATTTGACAGGAAACGACTGACTACAACAATTGCATAGCTATATCAAGTATTGCGTAGACCATTGCATACATCAAACTTTGTACTGCTGAAGCGTAAGGAACTCTTTCTATATCTTCTTTTTCTTTATTTGTTGAAGGACATTGCTTAATGCTCAATTTGCAATGGGTAGCAAGAGGAGAGATAATCACTTTAGCCTTGTCCATACAGAACCTCTCAATCGCTTTTTTAATACACTCTTCCTATTAGGGGTGAACGCGGTTTGGTTTGTGTGGTTTGCGCAATATTTTCAAGTCAAACCATTTAATACGTTTTGAAATTTTTCCAAACCAAACCAAACCATTTTATTTTTCAAATCAAACCATAATTTACGGTTCGGTTCGATTTTAATCTGCAATTTACATATCGATATTATAGTAATATATTTAACATGAGTTAACATATAAGTTTAAAGGAGAATTAGTAATGTTAAATATTAAATTATATTCATCATTACCATAAAACCCATGAATAAATTATTTCCAAGTTGGTTGCTAAAATATGTTAATAGAACAAATATATCTTTATTCATTTTTATTTACATTTTCCTTTTGGACATTCATATTTTCATATATCGATTGGTAAAAGTAGAGTTAAATTTTACTATTATAGTTTGGTTAAAATTCCTTTCGTCTTGCTAGTGAGATATTAAATAAGGATTGGATATAATATAATTAGATGTACAAAAATTGATAGAGTTTTGATTTATTGAAAATTGACGAATTTCATTCTCTAACTACTTTATGAAAGTAGAAGGTAGTGTATTAGTTAGGAAACTTTAACATTTTCACACAATTAATATGCTTAATCCTTCGTTCGTTCTTGCGAAAATCACAAACAAGTTCATTAATCATCTAGGCGCACAAATAGTCATTTTTATATTCAAACCATAGCTCACAAGTGTATAACAAGTTCAAAAATAACAAATAAAAAGAAAAAATAGCTTGAATAAGAATCTGAGACTTATCGAAAGAGAATAAAGAAAGAAACGATTCAGGTAGAAATTATCAGACTAACAGGTAAAGGCGACTGGTGAAGCAATGACAAGCAAGCATCAAATATTATGGAAATGAGAGTTTATGTTAGGGCTTCTAAAACTTTGGACGTGATTAGCTAACGTGATTTTGTTGAATTATGATTTGTATTGTTGATTTTTTTTTCATTCCATTTCATATGATTTTGGAATAATTTTAGTTTAGTTTAAATATCGGGTGGGGACATACGATGTGAACTTGTTAAACTATAGGCCAATAATGATGAATCTAATTTACTTTCTATGATTATTTTAATAGGCTGATTGTAATTTGTATTGTTAGATTGACATTTTTTTTGAAAAGTGAAAACTATAAAAATTTTAAGTTAATAAAATTAATGTTTTAATTAAAAAATCTAAGAACAGTTTGATTCGGTTTTGTGCGGTTTTTAAAAATCAAAACCTAAATCAAACCATTTTGAAATTGTTCGATTTGAGAGAAAAAAATCACGGGTGCATGTGGACCTAGACCAACGGTTTCAATTCAGTAGTTTCGGTTCGATTTACGATTTTTCGATTTTTTTGTGCGGCCCTACTTCATATGACAAATACAACTTCTTAGCACTCATGCTAACTCGAAGGGTATTCCATCTAAGGTTCTTTTTTCTTTACTATTGGAAAAGAGGAATCATCACAGAAGAGTCTAAGCTTTGCCCTAGGTAACTTCTATTTTCTTTCTTTTTTGAATGTCCTAAGAAACATAAACGGGGTAAAAGCAAACGAATTTTATTGGCATTACTGAAATCGCATTTTATTCGATCTTGAGTACTAGAGTCGTTCTATTCATTCTTTCAGCTATGCCATTAAATTGAGTAGTTTTTGGAGTTGATTTTTGATGTTGAATTTCCTATTGTTTGCAATACTCATCAAAAGGACCAGAATACTCTCCCCCATTATCTGTTCAGGTGCACCTCAACTTCTTCCCAATTTGTTTCTCAATTAGGGCCTGAAACTGCTTGAACATAGTCAACATTTGGTCTTTTGACTTCAACATATAAACCCATAATTTTTTTGAATGATCATCTATGAAGGTCATAAAATAACTGAAGCCGCCAAGTGTTCTCATTTTCATAGGACCACACAAATATGAATGTATCAAATCTAGTCTTTCTGACTTTCTTAAAGAAGATAAATTCTTGAATAAGACTCTATTCTGCTTTCCAGATAAACAGAGAATTCATATTTTCGGATATATACTTTTTAGACCACTTAGTACACTTTTCTTCCTCAATATAGCTAATCTTTTTCTCATTCATATGAGAAAGTCTTTTATTCCACAATTCTACTGTACCATTATCCTCTATTGCATCAACAATATCACTGGAGAACTTTATTTGTAAATATATACAAAGTAGAGACCTTTTTACCTCAAGCGACAACCATAGCACCCCGAGTGATCTTCGACTAACCATTATTAAAGGTGCTGCCATACGCATCATCATCAAGTTTTCCTGCAGCGTTGAAGTTCAAACGGATATATGGAATATGCTTCACATCTTTAATAACCAAGCTCGAACCATTACTCTTCTCCAAACACACCTCCAATACCAGTTATTTTAACCAAGCCATCATTACCCATCTTTATAGTTCCGAAATCACTAAATCTATAAGATGTAAAGAAATCTTTTCGCTATGTAGCATAAATGGAGGCACCACTATCAATCACCTTATTGGTCTCATGACTTTCAAAATTGATCACCATCTTAGTCATCCTTGTTCTTCAACTTCATTCTATTTCTTATTCTTGTTTTCTTTCTTTCATTGTCAGCAATGTTTCTTGATGTGTTCCTTTTTCCCACAATGATAACACTTGAAATTCCCAAAGTTGTTCGATTTATCTTCGCTTTTGTCTCTGTTCTTCGAACCTTTACTTGTACTTCTTCCCCTCTTTTTTGTAAGCAAAACCTCTAACTGTGAAGAAGATCCCTGTGATATTCTTCTCATCTCTTCATTTAACAAGCTACTTTTGGCCAGATTCATTGTGATAAGTGATAACACCATCTGGAGCAGAGTTAGATAGTGATGTTCTAGTATCTCCCATGAGTCCGGTATTGAACCAAGCAACTATAACCCTTGAATTTCATCATCAAACTTAATACATTCTAGCCAACTGATTAATAATTCCTTGAAATGTATTTAGATGATCGGTTAAAGGAGTTCTATTTTGATATCTTAACGCCATCATCTATTCAATCAAAAATATTTTATTATTTACAGTCTTTCTAGTATATAACTATTCAAGCTTACTCCATAGAGTACGAGCACGTGTCTCCCCACTGACATGATTTAAAACACTATCATCTATCTGTTGGGAATCTACTTAACGTGCGCAGTGGAAAATAAAAATAGTTTTCGATTCTCACCAAGAATTATCTTTGTGTTTAGATAGAAATTGTGATAAAGATGTACTTTTTACAAGATCTGCAAATTCCTTTGCCATATCTTTGCTCCAGCAACTTGGATCAGTCTCCCACAGCTGTCCAATTATCCAACCTCCAACGGTGATCCACACAGAGAACAAGATTGCACGATTAGAGTTTTTTTCTTGTGCTAGTAAGAATAATGAATTCTCTACAAAATTGTAAACCCTAATTAGTTATTTATATAAGCACAAGCAGATTTGATCGGACCCGGTCCAATATTTAATTAGACCATTTAATTAGATCCGGTCTGTGAATTAATTAATTCGAGCCTATAAATAACCAACCCAATTAATAATTTATCCAACGATTGTTAAATTAATTAATTGACAAATTGTAATCTTCCAATTCTCTTTTGTGTGTGACCCATCAGGTTCTCGATCACGATACCTAATGACGTAAAATATTATTTTGATCTAATCAAAATTGATAAATTAAAACACTCTTTTAATTTATCACAAATTTATATTCATCGTCCCAAATTGACATATAGTAATGTGTCAGGGCAATACATATGACGGAAAATATCATGTGGTATGACAAAACTAAACTCGTTTGTTTACCGTGAAACTATAATCTCATCGTCAATATGATCAGATCAATTACAAGATATGAAAGTGTGTCAATCCCGAATATCGATCATATCTTTTACTCCACTATTAAGTCAATATAAGTCGAAAACTCCTTTTTGACTTATGAGTACACATTGGCCAAGGATTTCGTTATCGACTTAATTGAATGAAATGTAAATCATAATCTTTTACTATTTAAGAGTGACGAATCCTCTATTGGTCATTCACAAACCTTCATATAATTCTTGACATACCCGAACGATGTCGTATTAGCGACCATTGGCAGAGCAACATCCAACACCGTCAAAGCATAACTATCCTCATATAAGGTACTATGAGACCTCAAGTCAAAGGACCAATTCCACTACCGAACGTTAGAGATTAACCACTGACACTCAAATAGTTATCCATGTGAAATCTCTAGGCGAGTTTCCAATGTTTTGTTCTATAATAAAACATTCACGTATTCATTCAAGTGTCACCGCACTTTAGCTTATGAGATCAGCTACTTACTTCACAAGTAAGAAATGTCATACGTGATGGTTTATCCATAATAACGATATCCGTATCTCATTATTACTTATGATCACAGACGTTTTAAGATTCAATCATATATAATTTGTATCTCACAATCACAACTCCTTGTGATTAACAAATTACGAAGATTTGAATTTACAGACTCTATTATTTAATTTAATTGTCTATTAATTAAATAATAGATCTGCCATTAAATTGCATTAATTATATATTGAAAGTATTTATATCCAAGGTTGATTAGACCTAGGGTATAACACTTACAAACTCTCACTTGCACTAGATCTAATCACTTATGTATCCAATATCATAAGAGTCTACATGATTAATGAATATCTTGATCCACACTGCGATTCTTTGCTGCTTCCGAAGCAATCATGTATTAGGTTTCTACTATTGAACTAACGATTATTTCACGTTTGGAGCTTTTCCAACATACCGCTTAAGATTGAACCAATTTCCCCATATAAAATCTTCTCAAGGTTTTATCTATATAGATTAGAATAAGTTAAGCAATCGTCTATATCTATCTCTATAAATCAAGTTGTTTGTCCTATATTTTTAATGAAAAATCCTTTAACCATAATTTCAACGATTGAAATTTAGGGATGTCGTTTTCTATTATATTAAGAATACGACAATGCTACCACTATCTTCTTGTAAACACACAGTTTATCTTCTAATTTGATAAAATCAAATATTTTGACTTTTTCATCAAATCGAAGATTTCAACTCCAAAAGACTTCTTTTAACCCATAGTTATGGTATGCAACTGTTGTAAGCAAAATCGGAATGGACTTCAGCAAGGCTATAGGCTAAAGGTTTTACCAAGGTTAACACTTAACCTTTGCTACTAGCCTTTCTTTGTATGCATGGATATTACCATCCACACCGACCTTTTCCTTGTAAACCATTTACAAAAACATATGAGTTTTATCCCATCAGGAGGGTCGACCAAGGTCCAAACCTTATTTTCATACATCGAGTTCACTTAGGATTCCACGGCCTCATGCCATCTATTTAAGTCAACACTTGACTCTACTTCTGTGTAAGTAGTAGGTTCATCATCCTTGATTAGCAATCGTGGATTCGTACCTTCTTAAAGGTCGAATGATCCTATTAGATTTAAATGGAGCTGTCATATCCTCAGGAGTTTCTACTTTCTGATCAAGAGTATATCCCACATCAGATATGAGATTAAACTTGAATTCATCTACTTGGTTAACTATATCTATGGACTCTTGAACTCTTTCAAGTTCTATTTTGCTCCCACTGTCCTCCCATAGAGTAAATATTTTCTCTAAGAGGACGATGTATCGTAAGACGAAGACTTTTTGCTCAAGGGATTAATAGAATTGATAACCATATATTTGTTTTGGATATTCCACAAATATATGTTTACCGGATTTAGTCTCAAACTTGTTCGATTCAATGTGCTTCAAATAAGTGTTACGGTCCCAAACTTTCATATGTGATAAATTGGGATTATTGCCTTTCCATAGCTCGCATGGACTTGTGTTAACCAACTTAGATGTGACATGATTTAGTGTGTAACACACTACAATCAGTGTATGACCCCAAAAACGATTTTGGAAGATTTGCATGACTTGTTAATAATCGCACTATATCTAATAGTTAACGATTTCTCTTTTTAAATACACCACTATGCTGCAGTGTATATGAAAGAGTCTACTGCAAGAGAATCTCATTCTCTCTTTAGATAATCTAAATTTTATATTTAAGATACTCTCACTTTGATCGGATCTTAATGTGAGGGTATCTTGACTTATTTGTTTATCTACTTTTAGCTTGAATCCTTTGAACATTTCAAGAACTTCATGCTTGAATTTCATATATATAAGGTCCATTTGATTGAACTTTTGTTTTTAACTTTTGCTTCTTGAGCATCCTGAAAAGGTTATTTTATGTAGACTTCCTCTAAAAAAATTTTAATCAGATAAAGCTTTTTTTAAAAAAAAAATTTATCTAAACATATTCAAAAATAACTTTTTAATCTCAAAGACAAATTTTGAATTTTCAAAATTCATGACAAATTGTCCTTAGCTCCCCCTCTTCACTTCCTTGATCTAAACCAAAAATAAAAATTATAAAAGAGTAAGCGCTTGTCTGGGCATGCTGATCTGCGAAATTGTGACCGTTGAAAATGCTCCAAAGTCGGGTCCCACACACTTGTCTGCATATGGCAATTGAAAAATAGTTTGTGTGAATGGACAATTTTGACTCTTTTGGCATGTGATCTCACTGTTGAGGCTAAAAGAAACATTTGCAGCCTTTCCAAATTTTATCTTTGACTTTTCTCATAGTGTGGACCCACCCAAATGCCCAAAAATGTGGGATTGCATGCGTAACACAGAAATGAAAATATTGCAACGCCTTCTCTCATAAATCGGCCCCGCCCAAAAATGTACCCGTTCCATACGTAAAATATAAATGAAAATCGATTGAACATGAGACTAATAATTTGCCATTTATGTGAACATACAACACTCACAACGAAAACATGGCTTACCCATACTTGAACTGATTACTGGAGATACAACTATTGAACGAGAATAGAAACTGTTAAGCGCGCCCACCACTTTGAGCCAACCAATCACGAAAATGACCTCACTCGTTACGCTGCATTTCCAACAAGTTCATCTCAGCGTCGACTTGTTCGTGTGTGTCCGGTAGTTCTACCTCTATCGCATCGGGGTCTTTCTCAACTCGCGTGAATGCTTTGTCGACCACTCCTGCCCGTCGGAGGAAGTTGTGGATGCCCATGGTCGCCACTACGGCTGCATTCGGTACCTTAAAATTGTAGCGCGACATACGATTCAGTATTTTCCACCGACTTTTTCATACACCGAATGCCCATTTGATTACGTTTCTACAGGACGAGTACTTGAAGTTGAATCGCTCACATGCGTTGCGAAAATTTCTCCTCCAACCCGTCTGAGCGTCATAGAACTGTTGGAAATGGTACAAAATATCTGACCCCATATACGGAGCCATGTACCCAAGTCTATGGGTAAATCCTCGGTCTACAAGATAGTATTTTTCAGGACCCGACAGAGGGAAATGAATTCCTGGACAATGTATAGCGCGCGCAAACATTCGTGTGTCATGCGTCGTCCCCGTGTATCTTTCGTAAAACACAGGTTGAAATCACATGCAGCAAGAACATTTTGTGTTGGGATTCCTTTGCGTTCGATAAAATCCACGCGTTCGTTTTGAGGCAAGACCGCTCTAACATGCGTCCCGTCAATTGCACTAATGCAATCTCGGAACAACGGATGCTTGTTCGGATCCGGTACGTGATGCTCTTCACCGTGATCGTACTGTGGATCTGGTCTTATGAGACTCGCACTAAATTCAAGAGTTGCTTGCAGCACATGCTTGAAGTAGTGGCCGATTGTTTCCAAAGATTGGTTGAACAGCGTCTGAACCTATCGGTACCCTTTTCCATGTACTAATACACATAGAAACATTCCAACTTGTTCATACACGTCTACGTGCTGGCAGCTGCGTAGTCCGTAATTGTCCCGGAGTATGTGTGTAAATCTTCTAAGTATGGATGGGTACATCCTAAATTCTGCGTAACACTGTTGACATTGCATCGCATCGAGCATGAACATGTGCCTGTTCCTTGCGAATGGAAATTAAATGATCCGACGTCTCTACCGACGGTAGTAGTGTGCCACATCAATTTCCTCCATCCGACAATATCGAAACCACTGAACAATGTCATCTTCAAGCAGTTATATGAATTCATCTTCACCAATCTCATCTTCATTATCAGATAATGGTAGAAGCACACAGTTGAGCTCCAAATGCGTCATAACCAACGTCCCTCGCTATTTTGGGAAATTTCCTACCTACTTAGAAGGTAAGAAGATAGCCATAACATTTCTTTCTGTCTCTCTCTATCAAATGAGCATAGTCATTCGTTGCTGCAATGAAAGTTGTGAAGTTCCCTTTATAAAGAATTACTTAATAATGCAATAGTATAATTCTGAAATTATTCTCTATGCAATTTGACAAAATGTGAAGAGATTCCCCTATCTATTGAACTTTATAGCATAGATGGGTTGTTAGAGATGCTCAATTATGCATGACAATTGTTGACAAACTTAAACTAACAAGCAGCTTTGTGAACATTGCATAAGTACAAATGACAAACATGGACATGAAATCTCAGTAGTTCGTACTAAATACATGGATACAGAAAATCTTAAAAAGTACACAACAACAATATTCTAAAGTTGACGAATCGCACACCGACGAAAATGAAAAAATAACAAAGCAAACACCCATTCCACAATGGTTAAAATTTATTCAGCCCTGCATGCAGTTGCCACTGCGGTCGTCCTCTCCTGTACTCATGCCAGTTCCACTTCAGCCAATCCATCTTCTCGTTCGCATCCTCCTACGTCTCCAGGACTTCCTTGTTTCACTTTAAAGACGGAAACGTGCAGGTCCAAAAGTAGAGGTCAGTTTTCTTTTGCAAACTGCCAGTTGCGAACAACTCTTTCATGTATGTCTTCATGCTCGAAACATTGGATCCAACTAAGTTGTTGATTTTTGCCACAACTTTCTCACTTGCAATCGTGGCCTTATCAACTGAGTACGACAATTCCTTAGCCGATATTTTAGTTCTTTCTCCTTGCTTTTACTGTAGCCAGATCTACGTTTCTCTCCACTCCTACGATCGGAGATGTCCATGCTTGAAGTGGGCCCGTCTAACTTGTTGCCCTCATCACTGGAGCAGCTACTCTCATCGTACATAGGCATTGCATCACGCGTGTCGTCGTTTGTACTGTCTTCAAACATAGCGAATTCGGTCCTGCACAGCTTCGTCGGTGTCATCGCGTACGTTTTGCTGTCGAATGCGTCCGCGAACAGATCTCGATAGGCGTTTATCTCTCTGCAGTTTTTGTCTTCGAACTTTCTATAATCTTTGCTCTCCTGTTCAGAATGGAAGAAACATAAATGCACAACGAGTAAGGAGTCGCGTAAGGAATAAAAATACAGAATTACGCAATTGAATTTTATGACATATGCTCCAACTGCGACATGTTTGAGTAAAAGTTCTATCTACAAATGAAACGAATACTAGGGTATTGGTTGACATTCGAATTTGGAAAGTGGCAATTCAAGCAGATTTGTACCTTAATCTTTCGTGTCCACCACTCATCGGACGTGACTAGACGGCTGCGTACAGAGTCGTACGCTATGTCGGTACTGTCTATCAAGTCCTGGAGACGTTTATACTTGACCCGAAGATAATCCCAATGTTTCTTCAACTGCTACCTACTCCAATCGTGCCCAGAGTTGGCATTGAACAATTGGACAATTGTGCGGCAGCCATGTTTTGTGAAGCACTTTCCACTACGGTGCTCATCGGCTATTACAGTCTCACAGGCGGCAATGAAGACTCGATTATCTTCGGGCGTCCGCTGGGTAGTCCTCTTCGCATGGGCTTGGGGCGAGATTGGTTCGGGGTTGGAAGTCGAAGCAGTGTGGAAGCCCATATGCGTCTGAGAAGGAAAATGAAATAAACATGAGATGGGGAGTATTGGTACGTGTAAAGATACAAAATTTTAAATTTATAACAAGACTACAACTACTGCCCACTAGAAAGGAAATAGAATCTGAAAACAGTAACTTTGGCTTGTCAGTATCGGCTTAGGAACTTATCCCGAAGAAATTGTTTTGTAAAATATGTGCAACGAAGTCTTAGAAAAAGTAACATAGATGTGCAAGTTGTCCGACATGTGGTGCAAATTCAATAATAAGAATAGAACATGATTTCGAATTCTCGGCATTCCAAACCCCGTATGAAAGAACCTAAAAGAATTAATCAGTAAAAAAATACTAACATGAACCTTGAGAAAACAAATTGAGCACTGAATACTGAAATCAAAACAAAGGAAACATGCAATGTCAAAAACAATCTTTTTCATTGCATATAATAATAATAATAATAATAATAATAATAATAATAATAATAATAATAATAATAATAATAATAATAATAACAGAACATTATATCACAAATTCATACGTTCCCATTCCAAAACGAACCCAGGAATCCTCTCTACTCAATAACATACAATTATACCATAAATGCCATTAAAGAATTTCACAAATTTAGTACAAAACAATATTCAAAAAAAATTACCATAATGAAGATCAAAATTCGTATAAATTCCCAATACAAAAACATTTAGAAGCATATTATAGTTGGTTTTCATTACAAAATTGAAAAAAGAAGGAATCAAACAACAAAATTTTAAATTCTAGTTCCAATCTATATGCCTAAGTCAGAATATTGGGGGTACTTTACCAAGAAACGGGTATGTGCGAGAGAAAATAAAAAACTGTTGCTATGTTGTGGATATCTTATGTTACTGAACAGGTAGTTCAAAGTTAATATTACTTTTACGATCTATTTTGCCGTCGTCGCGTGTTCTTGTCGGAGGAATTCGTTTTACAAAACTGTAGAAAAAGAAAGGTAGATTTCCAACACTAACCGAGGTAGAATATTGATCCATGGTTGTCTTGAACCTGTAGGGAGTTTTCGATTAGATCCACGCTGTCGCCACCGGTGGAAGAGGAAGAAATTAGTGGCCGGTCAGGGAATTTCGTTTCTTTAAAAATGGGAGAGTGGTGGGTTTGAATGTGAGATGTGGAAGGGCAAAATTGGAAGACCAACCACGGTAAGGAGCAAATGGACTGATTTGTTGTCAGGTTGTTTAACAATATTAAATTAAAATCTACTGTGTCAACGGTCCATTAATTGCTTGGTAGCGTGCCTAGACATGCACTAAATCTAACCCGTTTACATTTTCATAGTGACTTAGAACATACTAGACGACATAAAATTAACAATAAAAAAATCAATGGTTTCAAAGAGTCAAAATTGTAGGCATCAATTGATTTCTCAATAACAAGTGAAAATTTTAAATTCAAATTAATATGGATTTCAAATTTTTGACTAAATTGTTGATATATAAAATTCAAAGCTGATCTCCCTTTTATGATGGATAAAGAATATAAAGCCCACCGTTGACGCGACCAAGCACTGATGGGCCTTTTTTTTTTTTGGCTAGATTTGAAAGCCATATCTGATTAAATTGTAACCCCCTTTCTGCAATCCCGCATTAGATTTCCCCTCCCTCCCGTTGTACCCTAAGTCCCAAATCAAGAGTTGGGCCCTAATTTCCCTCGTCATTGTCGTCACCTCCGTCGTCAGGAGATCAACCTTGATATGAACTTATATCCATATATTTAAAAAATACCCTATGATGAAATTTATAGGCTTCGTAATGTCAAACAAACATTAAACAGGAAGTCTTCAATGGAATATAGTGTTTTTTAAACTAATAAGAATCTAGTTTGTTTGGATAAACTCATTTTAATAATTTTATTTATAAGCTGACGCTTGTTTATATTGTAACTACTACTAGTAAACTTGGTTAAGTTGATAACGAGTTTCAAAAATATTAAAATCAACTAATCTGTGAGTCAACTAAAATTAATTAATTGAAATAGGTTTATCTGTGGTCCCAAACTACCGATTAAGATTTATTCCCCTTTTTCATGTATATTATGAAATTTAAATTTGCCTATGACTAAAAAAACTAGCGAATCATATACATACAAGTCAAGTGAACTGGGAAAAAAAAATCCGTTAACTCAACGACTCAATGTTTTAGTTGCATCGTGCTGACGCTAGTAGGAAAATCATTCCAAGAATTAATTCTATTTATAAATTTATATTTTTCTTATAATTCAATTAGGACAATTCAGGTTCAACGACCAAAATTTGATGTCACCAAAAATTCAATCTTAATGATAAATAATCACAAACTTGAGTAAAAGATGAAGATTATAATGCGTATATATAATTTCATAAAATATATTGCGTCTTATAATATGAATTAACGATAAACATGTTTGATATCCTAAATTAAATTAGATAAACATTTTAAATTTTATCAAATATTTATTCTTTAATCTTGTCGAATTGAGCATATCAAATGCAATTTTAAGTAATTTATATATTAAGTAAGTTTTGTATATTATGAAGAAATAAATCGGGGTGACTAGTTAATTCCTAGTTGGATTGAAATATATTACTGTTTCGGCTAAGCCTTAGCTGTCATGCATAATTTCGATACTATATTTTTCCTAGGATTGTTACTTCTTATCTTAAAATACAAAAACAAAATATTATATGATGTTTGAATTGCATTTAATTAAGAAATATTGCAGTAGCAATCTCAAGCCTTTAGATATTTGCAGATTTTATCTTAATCTTCATTTTGCACTGTTCACAGTTTCAAGTCTTTCAAAAATTAGCAACTGAAATCCAAATGGATGATTTTTGTTTGTTTGACCGTTAATTACCTAATAAATTGACTTTGATCAATTTTAAAATTGAAAAAAATTGTAATTTTAAATTAAAACCAAAAAATAAAAACCCAATCACTATTTCCCACCTCAACCTCCTCACCTCCTCCTAACCCCCAAAACCATCAAGCAACCACCGCAATCACCACCGACCCACTCTGTAAGTCAACACTACTGTTAGTACCATCCAACGTCTGCAACATTCATATGATTTTACTACAAATCCAGCTATCGTCGCCGCTGCAAGAAAGCCAAGAGCCATAGAAGAACAAAATTCAAGTCCATCGCCATTGACCACCTATCTCATCCCGTGTCAACGATCGCCATCCCCCACCCTTTCCCTCATATAAATCAAACTGATTATCGACTTGATGAGACTTTTACACCAATTCCCTTTATTTCTATTTACACGCGGGATTTTTTATGGTTCAAGAGAATATTAGCAAATAAGGAAAAATAAAGAATATAATGCACAAATTAAACGGATCGTCAAAACTTTTCATTATATGAAAAATTGTTACAATCATATAGAATTTCACTCACCAACTCAATCCTCAAGTATTACAAAGAAAAATATAAACTCGAACTTTATCACACCTACTTTTCTATCCAATATACGAAAAAGTCTCAAAATGCTAGACTCACAATATTTTTCCTCTCATATCAACCGTTCACGAAATATTTTCTTTTGATTTAAATCGCCGTAAGTGTACGGTTCGTTAATAAGTAATAAACTGAATTTTTAGAGTCCGAATATCGTTTCATAGCGATTGAGTAGTTCAATTGTATTTATCTCGACCTTAACTGAATCCAAATGATCAATTATGAGTTTTTATCCTAAAAAATTCTAAATCTAAGCTAAAGTACCAATATTATGAATTGGATGTTATGACATGCAAAACAATGTTTAAATGAACTAAAATGCAATTTGATATTTGGGACTCAGATTAAATGTATTCAATGAATGTGAGTTATACTAGGATCACGAATTTTCAAGTAATGTTCAATTTAACCTTAATTCCACACTTTGACAACATGATGACATTTTGAAGAATCAATACTCCTAAATCCATCCAATACTCTCTCTCGAGATGAATTGAACATATTTTCATACACCACCAATCTATATCTCTATGACGATACAAATATACAAGCAAATATACGAGAATGCATGTAGTTTTGTGAGTACTTAGAGATTCACACAAAACATAAGGGTATATTTCTATCCCCTATCGGAACTTACGATGATTTATACCTTGTCGAATTTATTCTTCTTTTTTCGAATAGATGAAACAAACCACCAAAACTTACACATTTACGGGTCCATAATCATGGAGGCAATTAAATGCATATAAATTATTCAAACAATCAATAAGTGTTTTAATGTCAAAATACGGAACAAAGAATTAAATATCACATTACAAGGTTCATCGATCTCCTAGTATAGATTTTTCTAGCCATTTGGCCTCCAGAACTAACCCCTAATTTAAGATTTTCACCTAATTTTTATCTCACTAGTCTAGGCAATCCACACAATAGAATTCATATACGGAGCCTCCACTTATTTCAATGCTTTCATATGATTGCTCAACCATCTCCAAACCGTCTTAAGGCGGTTTACTATTTGATTTAGTAGAGGGTTATCATTCTTCTCCTACTTTATATTCAAAACCCCAATTACTAACCTAACATGTCGAGCATGAGTGGCGTGCATAAAGAATGTCAAGTATTACATCAATAAGTATTTGTTAATCTATTCAGCACCATTTCCACAGTTTGTAATTTATACCCATCCAATAATCACATCATAGTTGGCAAGGCTATCAAGCTCACACAAGCATGGAAGAATGGAAATACAACAAACTGAATAAAATGCAAAGATTTTTTTTAACACTCATCAAGCACATAATATGCAGTCATGAAATATAGATATTGATGAATATAGGCAAAATGATGAAAAGATGTTCGTGTTCAAGATTATGTCATCCACCCCCAAACTTAGATATTACATTGTCCTTAATGTGAAGATAGAAGTTTAACAGGCATAATTGAAGGACAATAACAAACTCAAGCGCAAGATGGAGTACGAGTACTCTCCTGATCGAGATGGAGGTGGTTAATGAAAACTGGGACCTGCAGTACCGTCTTTTGGTGATGGAGCTATGACGTTCTTTTTGGCGGCATCCTGTAAAAGTGCAAAGTATGCGTATTAGTCCACTTGGTGTAAACATATGCAACTGAGGCAAGAAATAACCTTCGTGTGCACAAATCCCCCAAACTTACTTCAAGGTGCATGTGTACATTGTTGGTGTGCAAAATGAATAATTTATGTCTCAAAATAGGGTTCATGTCACAAAAATGTGAATCACCAATATAACTTCGCTCAAAACATGCACTTTGTTCAATTTAATACATGATTGACTAAATTAGGACTTTAACCTCATGACTCATGCTTGGTGAATTAGGACTCGTGTGGACCATGCCTAGACTCCATGTGATAGGGATGTATGATCGATGACCTAAAACTATTGATAATGCTAAAAAAATGAAAAGTTCCTAACTATAGCAAAACGAAGTAATTGAAAGGATAGAAACGTTGGATTGCCTGAATGTCTGGCGGTTTCTTCAACTCGTAATTGTAGGGGATTCCTATGTCAATCACATCAATCTGGAAACAGGTGTCTAGTTTGGTAGGATATTTCATTGCTTTGAAAACATTAAAAGAGGTTTGCTCCTCCCCCAGTTTCAGAGTCAATTGTCCTTGTTGCACATCTATGAGAGCTCTTGCAGTTGCCAAAAATGGTAGCCTAATATGATAGGTATGTCCTTATTTTCTTCCATGTCCAAAATTAAGAAGTCCGCTCGGAATATAAGTTTATCCACTTTGACCAATACATCTTCAATAATCCCTCGTAGATGTGTAAGTGATCAATCAGCCAGCTGTAGAGTTACTGTAGTTGCTTTAGGCTCTCCCAATCTTAGTTTCTTGAAAATAGAGTGTGGCATCAAGTTAATACTCGCACTAAGATCACACAATGCTTTATTAAAATAAAATTCACCAATTGTGCAAGGGACATTGAGACTCCCTGGATCTTTCAGTTTTGGTGGGAGCTTTTTTTGGATCCTGGCGTTGCACTCTTAGGTTAGCATTACTGTTTCATGATCCTCCAACTTGCGTTTATTTGATAATGCCCTTCAGAAACTTTGCATAGCTGGGCATCTGGAATAATGCATCGGTGAACGCAATATTTCAAGGAACTTCTTATATTGCTATTCCATCATGTGCTTCCTCAACCTTTGGGGAAAT